AAGGGAGGACACAGCAAGAGACAGCAGAGGGACACGCAGTGGAAGAGAGGAAGGACGAAGTGCCATCTGGTGTGTGTCGGGGACAGGAGGAGGACGCTGGCGCGGAAGATGACGACCAGTATGAACAGCGCGAATAGGCGACGCAGGACAAGACGCAGGCTCACGATGCTCTGTAAGACCTCCGGGCTGCTCTTTGTAAGAAGACAGAGCAGGCAGCGGGAAGGCTGGCTGTAATTGTGGCTATGACTCGTCAGAAGGTGGATACAGTAAGGGAGGAGTAAGGCCAGTAGAAGGAGGGAGACCAAGAACTTGTTGAAGTACGGTCGCGGCCGCACAGTACCTCCAGAACTAGCACTGACAGCACCAACATCCTCAAGGCCAGCACCTCCACCAGCTCCAGCTCCAGCGGCTCCAGCTCCAACTCTTGGAGCACCGTCACCTTTAGCAGCTCTAGCTCTAGCAGCACCTCCGGCTCCAGCTCCAGTAGCACTCCTAGCGCCAGCAGCTCCAGTACCTCTAGTACGAGCACCTCCGGGATCAGCGGTTCCAGCAGCTCCAGTACCTCCTGTACGAGCACCTCCGGGACCAGCTGTGACAGAACCTCCACCAGCACCAGCTCCAGCAGCACCTCCAGCTCCAGCAGCTCTAGTACCTCCAGTACGAGCACCTCCGGGACCAGCGGCGCGAGAACCTCTAGCATCACCAGCTCCAGCAACACCTCCACCAGCAGCAGCACCGCCGGCTCCAGTACTGCCACTCTGAAGTCTCCAGCGCCGAGCAAACCAGTCTCGATTCTGCGGTGGAGAGAGTGTCTCCCGCCGTGACAAGACACCCGGAGAATCTCCAGATGACAAAGTACCTCCAGGCGTAGCACGCTCAGGCTCAGCACCCCCAGGCTCCGCACCCCCAGGGTCATCAACCCCAGGCTCAGCACCCCCAGGAATCGCAGCCGCAGGCTTAGCACCCCCAGACGCAGTACCCCTAGCAGCACTAGAGTCGACAGCTACCTCAACAGGCTCGACAGGGTCTACCTAGGACACACCTGAGGGAGCAGGACCCTGAGGGGGGAGGGGGTCTACCGGAGGAGGACCTGGTGCGAGGAAGAGCGGCGCGGGAGGGAGAGGGGCAGTGCGGTAGGGGAAGAGACGGTAAAAGGGAACCGACTCGTCAAACGTGACGTCCTGAGAGGGCAGGACACGTCGTGAGGTGGGGTTGTAAAACTGCCAACCAGGCGCGTCAGGGGTTAAGCCAAGGAAGATACAGGGAACGGCGTGGGAGGAGAGCTTGTCCGCGGACGTATCGCGGACAAAGGCTCGACATCCCCAGACCTGGAACACCGACGCATCGCCAACCTCTCCCGTCTAACGTAGTGTCGGCAAGGTTTCTGGCAAGGAGATACAGGGCCAGAGGTTGAGGTGATGCGCAGCGTAGCGGACTGCAAACAGCCACACAAAATGGGGGGCAGCCGTATGGATCATGGAGGTACGAGCGACCTCCATGACTAAGCCAATGCGGCGCTCAGCAACCTCATTCTACTGCAGAGAGGCCGGAAGCGTGAACATCTAGCGAATACCCTCCCCACGACAAAAGTCGTGCAAGAGGTCTGAGGAAAACTCACCACCTCTGTTAGAGTTCAGACGAAGAACGTAAAGGCTTGACTCGAACAGCTCGCGGAGCTGGAGATGAACAGCGCGGATACAAGGGATCAAAACATCAGGGACCTCTTCCTTGCGGCACAAGGGGAAGACCGTGGTGTAACGCGTGTAGTCGTCGACAACCAACAGAAAGTACCACTCGTGGCCCTGTCCACGGACGCGGGCTGGGCCCCACACGTCCAGGTAGAGAGTCTGCAGGGGAGCAGTCGTTGGGGGGAATAAGGAGGAGTGAGGAGCGCTGCGTTGCCACCCCTCGACACCGGGAAGGCACGGAGGGGCAGGCGAGGGTGGGAGGGGAGGCAGAGACCTGGGAAGACCAGAGAGAAGGAGACAAGAGTGCATGCCACGGAGGCGTGCCACAGAGGGGTGACCAAGGCGGTGGTGCCAGAGCAGCGTCTGGTGCGAGAGGGTGCGACAGGAAAAGGGGGCCGCTAGCAGACCTCACGCAGAAGCAAACGCAGCTACCTGAGGAGGCCCAGTAGTCACTGTGTACAGGCTCGACCCAGGCCGACCGGTGAACGTGGCCAGGTGCCTGCCAGTCTGAGAACACGTACAGATCGCCACACGCTGTCCTCCAGGGGTGAAGGTGTCAACCCACTGATCCTAAAGGACAGCGGGGCTCACCAAGTTTGTAGAGAACGAGGGGAGGTAGAGACCTGAAAGTGAGCCAGACGGAACCGCTGGACAAGGCAGAACAGTGGAGGAACGTGCAAGGATTGGGCCTCCATAGGGGTCAGCCAAAGAGACAGCAACATGTGCAGAGAGCGGTGTGACTATGGTACTGTCGCGAAAGAAACGGCGGGAAGCACCTGAGTCAAGCATGAAGGTGTGCAGGGCCGCAGCACACGTATTCCCTGAGAGAGCAAACTCACTAGCACCCAGTGCAGCAGCCTCTATACCTGGGTCGGGCGGCACACACAGGTAACAGTCACCCTCAGCATGTCTCTGATACGCCCAACGCTGAGCAAACCACTCATGAAGCTCTTGGGGCGTAAGGGTCTAACGTGGACGCCGCTGGAGCTGCACCGGGCCACCTCCAGAAACTCCCAACTGAGTAGCTGCAACGCGACTGCCACTACGGCCAATACGCTGAGACGCCCAACGCTGAGCAAACCACTCATGAGGCTGCTGGGGTGTAAGGGTCTCACGCGGACGCCGCTGCACTGCATATGGCCACCGCCAGAACCTAGCAACTGAGTAGCTGCACCGCGACTGCCATTACGGCCACTACGCTGAGACGCCCAGCGCCGAACGAACCACTCACGAATTTGCTGGTGTCGCAATATATATTTATATATGTTTATAAATGCCTCTAGCTTTAGCTCTAGTGTAGTTATGTTTCTTTGTTGTTGGTGGTGCACCCTTGCTAGTTTGCTATATGTACCTTGTGTGCTATAGTGAACAACACACATTCTCCCTTTCTCTTGGCCACAATTCTCTCGACACCCGCTTAGCCTAGGCTTCTAAGCCTAGGCCCTTCACCCGGTTCCTAGTTAACTTAGTATTGTAACAGCTGGGGTGTAAGGGTCTCAGGCGGACGCCGCTGCAGCTGCATCTGGCTACCACCACAAACTCCCCACCGAACTGTCAGAGGTCCACTGGTGATCCCCGATCGATCCTAGGGAAGGGTTACAGGCACATTTGCCTGGGGGGTTATGGGCGCACTGACCCGCTACTGAAACAAGCCCTTTTATCCCAATGGTCTAGTGGTTGGGATTCTGAGATGGTATCCAGAGCGAAGGTCTCGGGTTCGAATCCCGGTGTATGCACTTCGGGCATCCCAGTGCGGGGGGGTGTCAGAGGTCCACTGGTGATCCCCGATCGATCCTAGGGAAGGGTTACAGGCACATTTGCCTGGGGGGTTATGGGCGCACTGACCCGCTACTGAAACAAGCCCTTTTATCCCAATGGTCTAGTGGTTGGGATTCTGAGACGAACAGCTCCACAGCGACTGCTACGATGGCCACCACCACAAACTCCCCACCGAACAGCTCCACAGCGACTGCTACGATGGCCACCACCACTCTCACTGCTGCCGCCACCGTCGCTACCACTCCCACCGCTGGCGTGAAGAGAAGTTATGCGACCAGCAGGGTAGCACGTAGGGAAGGAAGGGCGGCGAGGAGGCACTAGGGTAGGTCGGGGCGGTTCATGTCAGAATGTTATTATCTAGCCTGTAGTGGGGTGCTCTATAGCGAGTACAACCCTGTTAGGGTTTGCTATATGTATCCCAACTGCTGCTAGTGAACCTCTTCTTTGTTCTTTTCTCTCTTGCCTAGCTAGCTAAACCCTAGCTATGGCTCCTTACTCTACCGCGGCCAGAGCAGGGCTGCGCGCTGCTAGAGCAGGGTGGAGCGCGGCCAGAGCAGGGAGCAGGGCGGCGTAGTGCCAGAGCAGGGAGGCGCACGGCTAGTAGCAAGCAGTAGCTCCTAGGGCAGAGGCACCAAGGGCTTTTTTTTGTTTTTTTTTATACATATATATATATATATATATTAGGGTCTAACAGGGCGCACAGGGCGCTGTAGAGGCGGCTCGGGCGGGGCAGAGCAGGGCGCCAGCGCGCGCAGGGCAGGGCGCTGGCGCGGGCAGCAGTGCGCACAGGCAGGGCGGTGCTGGGCAGCGAGTGCAGGCCCGCGGCGGGCGCAAAACGCAGGCATGGCGGGCGCAATGGGCGGGCCCGCGGCGGGCGTAGCGGACACGCGCGGCTGCACGATGCAGCGCGACGCGAGGCAGGGCAGGGCGCGCGTCAGGCACCGCGACGCGGGACAGGGCAGGGCGTGGGGTATCACGGTAATCGTAGTCGGTCACTAAGTAATGGTGGGCTCGAAAAAAATACGGTCCTAGGCTAGGACCTGTTCTGAAACCATGTCAGGAGATTGAACGAGGAATGAAATGACTAACAGCAGGATGGGTACAAATGCTAACCCAAATTGGATTGTACCCTATATGGGCTACCCCAATACAGCCTACACAATGAGCAACATATTAGTTTGACATGTTGATTTCACCCTCACGTATGATATTGAACATTTGGCCCTCCCGCTGAAAGACGCTTTGGAATCACGAGACCAGTTGAGGCACCCTGATCCATATGCATGGCCTGGATCTAGTGTTGGCATAAATTAGTCTGAATATTTTCGCCCTGCAACCATTTGGAAAAAGACAGACAACAAATATTATGTTTGAAATTGAATATGAATCTCACAAAGCAGGGTAGTTTCTGTCCATTCTTATAACACGCCCCTTTCCAGCTTATTTTTTTTGGTGAATCGGATTCGTAATAAGCACAATAACTGTGTTCGCTCTGCCAAACCTCGTCTGTGCGCCAAGCGTCGTTCCATTTCGTTAGGAATTCTTGGTAGCCACTGCTCCGGGCGTGATCGAAACGAAATTTCCGTTTTTTCCTGTTTCCGCACAGCTGTGAGCAGCCGAACACGCGGGAGGTAATTCGGTCATATCAGGGGCGCGCACACGCCGTTTGGCCACCAGCCCACCATCTGCGGGTTTGACTCGCGAGCCACACAACGCCGCGCCGCGGGTGCGGTGAGGTGCGAGGCGTGTCTGCGCGGCGATTGCAGCGGGGCGACTGCAGCGGAGCGACTGCAGCGGAGCGACTGCAGCGGAGCGACTGCAGCGGGGCGACTGCAGCGGGGCGAGGTGACGTGACGCCCAGTGCGCGGTGTCTCGCTCGTAACGGTGGCAGTCGTACTCGGTGGGTGTGCCGCCGTGGCTCGCGCTCAGGGAAGAGTGGGAGGGGAGGGAAATGGGGGAGGGGAGGAAAGGGATGGAGAGGGGCAGGAAGGGGAGTGGTGGGCTGGGGAAGGCCGAGAGGGGAGGAAGGATGAAAGGTGTAAGCAGAGAAGGGAAAGGTTCGCCGCGCTTGTGAGGAGTGGGTGGAGAGGAGCAGATGGCGTGCCGACGGCCGAGGCGCATGACCCACCGCCATGCCTCGTATTCACCCCTCTTCTCGTCCCATCCTTACTCTGCCTCCCCACCTCACATCTCCCCCCTCTTTGCCCTCCTTCCTCTCCTCTCCCCCCTCTCTGCCTTCCCCCCCTGTCTGAACCTTAGTTGGAGTATACGCGTTTCGCGTTTTATACGCTAGCGTATAAACGCTAGCGTATAAACGCAGTACGCAGCTTTGGAGGGGACTAATACGCAGTGAAAACGCAGGGCCGGGCAGGGGTAAAAAAAGTTTCGGGCAGGTGAATTTTTTTGGGTTAAGATGTGGGGAAGGGGGTGGTGCAAGGCACCATCACCTCCCTTCCCCTTTTTATTATAGGGCAGGTTACATGCACACAACATTTTGCCTACATCACTAGACCCCCTACCCCACCTCCCTTTCCTTTCCCTTTTTCAGGAATCACTACACTTCATAGGCCCATCCCATCCCATCCCATACCACCCCCTCCCCACATGCATGTCTATGCATACTCATCCTCAAGAACCATGTCCTCTTCCTCCCCAACCTCCTCCTCCGCCCCATCCTCCTCCACCTTGTAGCCCTCGGGAAGGGGCGCCTCAGGAATGTTGCCCTTGACCACCCGCTGCCCCTCAGGGACCTTGTACCAATTGTGCACAACCTGCCAGTTGTGCACAACATATACGAGGTCCCTGCACTTCTCGGACCCGAGGCGGTTGCGCCTTGCCGTGTGGACCGCGTCCCACATGGACCAATTGCGCTCACAGGGCGACGCGGACACCGGCTGCGAAAGGTTGCGGATTGCGCACGTAGCAAGGTGGGGCGCATCTGTGCCGTGCCAATTCCACCACTGGACGGCCGTCATCTTCCCCGCCTTCACAGCCGCGCGGTCTTCCAAGGCGGTGGGCAGCCCGAAACTCCCCTGCAGGGTCAGGTACGCCGTCAGTTCCTCCTGCAGCACAAGAGAGGCTCGGCGCTCCTCGCCGTCGCTCGCGGTGATGGTGAGGTGGTCGTAGTGCTTGGCGATGTAGCCCTTCAGCACGCGCGTGCATTCGATGTCGTTTCTGAAGATGCCCTCCTCTTGGTTGACCGGATTCAAGATCCTGCCAACCACATGCAAGGGGCACGCCAAGCACTTATCCCACCTATCCTTCACGATGAGGCGGATCTCCTTAACCTCCGCCCTCGTCAGGTGACCCGCGGAGTGCTCCTCGAGGATTGCATCCACGTCCTCGGTGAGCTGCAGCATGGCGTCGTAGAGGCGCCCCATCATCCCCTTTGTCGCAGCATCCGTAGCCCGCATGACGGCGAATGGCTTCGCCATGAGCTTGGTGAAGAACTCGGCCTTCTTCCACCAAGCCTCGTCCATGATGTGCTCGCGGAAAGTGTCCGCGCTTTTACTCCTTGCCCCTGTTGCCCACTCCTTCCATTCATCGCTTAAAACCATCTGCACGAGGGCAGCACGGACTTCGACAAGGCGGGAAATAGCGATGAATTGCGTCCCAAAGCGAGTGCCCGCGGGTTTCAGGACCTGCTTGCCCTTCCCGCCCTTGACCTCGGAGCTTCGCAAATACCCCCGCGTGAAGTGGTGGTTGCGCGTGAAGGTGATGATCTCTCCCCCGCGGGTGACAAGGTTCTTCGCCCAATCCATCTTCCCCACGTCCTCCATCAACAGATCGAGGACGTGGGTAGCACAAGGTATGTACTCAATGTGGGGGTAATCCTCCATCAGCTCCCTGCACGCCGCCGCATAGTTCGAGCCGCCGTCCATGCAAAATGCCACCACATTTTCCGGTCCGACTTTCTTGAGAATGGGACGGAGAAGCCCCGCGATGTAACCTCCCGTTTTCGATTCCATCCGTGAGTCGATTGTCTCAGCGAAAACCGCGCCACTGTCGTTGATCAGAAGGACATTGGCTTGCGGACGGCCGTTACGATCAGTCATCATGTCGCTTGACACCGTTACGCCATCCCGCCGCCAGCTCGCCGCGATAGGAGCAAGCGCCGCCTCAATGCGCTTACGACATTTCTGGAGCCCGACGCCCCCGACGTAGCGACGCCTCGGTGCGAGGTAGCCTTCGCCCGCACGCGCAATGCAGGAGACCATGTTGTGCCAAACAGGGTGGTCCGCGTGGTGTTCGGGGAGGCGCAGAGCAGCGAACGCGAGGCAGATCGACTCGTCGGCATCGTTCTTCTTGCAGGCTGACGCGTCGCCGTAGAAATCGGTCATGCGAGACTTCTTCGCCTCGCGAGAAGCACCGGAAACTGCAGCAACGGCCGAGACTTCAGCCGCGCGCTTCTGGTCCCGGGTCCTGGACTTCGTCTCGTACTGTGACTTCACTCCATCCCGCGCGGTCTTGGGAGCTTCCTCGCAGAGGCGGATTTCACGACGCCGCATACCCTTCCAGCTGGTGATGTGCTGAGCAGCGCGGTACATACCGCCCGTGAACTTGTGGCGACAGTACATGCACACCTTGGTGGCGTGGTCGCTGTCGTCGCCGGGTTTCACAAGGAAATGCTTGTACACAGCATGGGTTCCGTGCATGATAACCAGACCGGCGCTGGTTTCCTCAACAGAACTAGCATTAGGAGCTGCAGTAGGGGTACTAGTACTGAGTGTTGCTGCAGGAGGGGTCGCCATACTGAAAGGCGAGCTAAAGAAGAGAGCTAAACTGAATAATGAAAGTCGAGTGGAAAGACACGACACGACATTTATGGTAGGAATGGTGGGTGGGTTGAGGGGGACTCACCTCAACATTGTATTTGAAGAGGTTGGAAGTGAACGGGGTACAAGGGGGTTTGCAATGGTAAAGGGTGGGTTTGGTGCGACTCGGTTTCAAATTTCGAATTCGGGGTTGCACTCGCGACGTGCGAAACCCCACACTTGAATCGCCATGTCGCTAAACGAAACTCAAATTTTGATTTTTTTTTCCCGGTCTGCCCGAGCGTTTTTCAGCGTTTCCGAACCAAAAACGCAGCGGTCGTTTTTTTAGCGCGTATAAACGCAATACGCAAAATGTTCAGAGCGTATACTCCAACTAAGGTCTGAACCCTTTGGATTTTCGCACCTCTCGTCGGCCGCTAGGGAGCGTCTTTTTGAAGTGATTCCACCTGCAACGCCCTGCCTCATCGCACTCACGCCACCTCGCACCGCTCTTCACCGCTCCGCGCCATGGCCACTACGTCAGGCCCAGAGCCCCCGGGGAGCACAGGGAGCGCAGCAGCAGGTGCGGTAGAGGAGGAGGAGATGAGTTTGTGTGTGCGGTGGGCGGGCAAGGAGCTGACGGTGGGCGCCAGCGGTGACGACACGGTGGGCGAGCTGAAGCGGCGCATCTGCGAGGCGACGGGCGTGCTGCCCACCCGGCAGAAGCTGCTCAACCTCAAGCTCGCCGGGCGCCCCGCCCCCGACTCCACTCTGCTGTCCCAGCTCGCCATCAAACCCTCCCTCAAGATCATGATGATGGGGTGAGGCGTGGTGATGATGGGTTGCATGGTGGTGATGATCTATGTAACCACGTGTAAACATGCACTGTCACTTATAAGTGCCTTGTGGATGCTATGTGTACACTTGTCGACTTTCTTCCTTTTCTTCCTCGGTTAGTTGAGAATGATCCACAGTGCGGCGTGCCTCCCTCCGGCAGCACGGTGGAGAGTGAGATCGTGGTGGGCCCGTCACCACAGGAAGCCCCCGACGTGGACGTGCTGGACGACCTACAGCTGCCGGAGGACGAGGCCGTGGCCATCAAGGACCGCCCGGAGAACCTCGCCAAGCTCAGACGCCGCTCTCAGCACTTCAAGGTGCGCCGCTCTCAGCAATTCAAGGCGCGCCGCTCTCAGCACTTCAAGGTGCGCCGCTCTCAGCACTTCAAGGTGCGCCGCTCTCAGCACTTCAAGGTGCGCCGCTCTCAGCACTTCAAGGTGCGCCGCTCTCAGCACTTCAAGGTGCGCCACTCTCAGCACTTCAAGGTGCGCCGTTCTCAGCACTTCAAGGTGCGCCGCTCCACTCGACTACCCTTTCTATTGCCTTCTTCTCGCCTCCTCACCTTTCCTACTAGGATTATCTTGTGAGTGGTCCCTCTCTCTCCCTCACCCCCTCTTCCCGCTCTTCCCCTCCTTCTCTCCTCTGCACCCCCGTGGCAGCTGAAGGTGCTGAACCCACCGAGGGCGGGCAAGCGGCTGCTGGTGCTGGACATCGACTACACGCTCTTCGACCACGTCTCCCCCGCTGAGAATGCTGCCGAGCTCATGCGCCCCTGTGAGTCAGGCTCATGCGCCCCTGTGAGTCAGGCTCATGCGCCCCTGTGAGTCAGGCTCATGCGCCCCTGTGAGTCAGGCTCATGCGCCCCTGTGAGTCAGGCTCATGCGCCCCTGTGAGTCAGGCTCATGCGCCCCTGTGAGTCAGGCTCATGCGCCCCTGTGAGTCAGGCTCATGCGCCCCTGTGAGTCAGGCTCATGCGCCCCTGTGAGTCAGGCTCATGCGCCCCTGTGAGTCAGGCTCATGCGCCCCTGTGAGTCAGGCTCATGCGCCCCTGTGAGTCAGGCTCATGCGCCCCTGTGAGTCAGGCTCATGCGCCCCTGTGAGTCAGGCTCATGCGCCCCTGTGAGTCAGGCTCATGCGCCCCTGTGAGTCAGGCTCATGCGCCCCTGTGAGTCAGGCTCATGCGCCCCTGTGAGTCAGGCTCATGCGCCCCTGTGAGTCAGGCTCATGCGCCCCTGTGAGTCAGGCTCATGCGCCCCTGTGAGTCAGGCTCATGCGCCCCTGTGAGTCAGGCTCATGCGCCCCTGTGAGTCAGGCTCATGCGCCCCTGTGAGTCAGGCTCATGCGCCCCTGTGAGTCAGGCTCATGCGCCCCTGTGAGTCAGGCTCATGCGCCCCTGTGAGTCAGGCTCATGCGCCCCTGTGAGTCAGGCTCATGCGCCCCTGTGAGTCAGGCTCATGCGCCCCTGTGAGTCAGGCTCATGCGCCCCTGTGAGTCAGGCTCATGCGCCCCTGTGAATCAGGCTCATGCGCCCCTGTGAGTCAGGCTCATGCGCCCCTGTGAGTCAGGCTCATGCGCCCCTGTGAGTCAGGCTCATGCGCCCCTGTGAGTCAGGCTCATGCGCCCCTGTGAGTCAGGCTCATGCGCCCCTGTGAGTCAGGCTCATGCGCCCCTGTGAGTCAGGCTCATGCGCCCCTGTGAGTCAGGCTCATGCGCCCCTGTGAATCAGGCTCATGCGCCCCTGTGAGTCAGGCTCATGCGCCCCTGTGAGTCAGGCTCATGCGCCCCTGTGAGTCAGGCTCATGCGCCCCTGTGAATCAGGCTCATGCGCCCCTGTGAGTCAGGCTCATGCGCCCCTGTGAGTCAGGCTCATGCGCCCCTGTGAGTCAGGCTCATGCGCCCCTGTGAGTCAGGCTCATGCGCCCCTGTGAGTCAGGCTCATGCGCCCCTGTGAGTCAGGCTCATGCGCCCCTGTGAGTCAGGCTCATGCGCCCCTGTGAGTCAGGCTCATGCGCCCCTGTGAATCAGGCTCATGCGCCCCTGTGAGTCAGGCTCATGCGCCCCTGTGAATCAGGCTCATGCGCCCCTGTGAGTCAGGCTCATGCGCCCCTGTGAGTCAGGCTCATGCGCCCCTGTGAGTCAGGCTCATGCGCCCCTGTGAGTCAGGCTCATGCGCCCCTGTGAGTCAGGCTCATGCGCCCCTGTGAGTCAGGCTCATGCGCCCCTGTGAGTCAGGCTCATGCGCCCCTGTGAGTCAGGCTCATGCGCCCCTGTGAGTCAGGCTCATGCGCCCCTGTGAGTCAGGCTCATGCGCCCCTGTGAGTCAGGCTCATGCGCCCCTGTGAGTCAGGCTCATGCGCCCCTGTGAGTCAGGCTCATGCGCCCCTGTGAGTCAGGCTCATGCGCCCCTGTGAGTCAGGCTCATGCGCCCCTGTGAGTCAGGCTCATGCGCCCCTGTGAGTCAGGCTCATGCGCCCCTGTGAGTCAGGCTCATGCGCCCCTGTGAGTCAGGCTCATGCGCCCCTGTGAATCAGGCTCATGCGCCCCTGTGAGTCAGGCTCATGCGCCCCTGTGAATCAGGCTCATGCGCCCCTGTGAGTCAGGCTCATGCGCCCCTGTGAGTCAGGCTCATGCGCCCCTGTGAGTCAGGCTCATGCGCCCCTGTGAGTCAGGCTCATGCGCCCCTGTGAGTCAGGCTCATGCGCCCCTGTGAGTCAGGCTCATGCGCCCCTGTGAGTCAGGCTCATGCGCCCCTGTGAGTGCCAAGGGGCTGCCGGCACGGGTAGATTGTGCGACAATGCTAGTGCGGTGCCTCCCAGCATGCATGTGCCAGTTGCATGCACGTGGAGTGAGCCGATGAGGATGCTGATTTTGAAGGAGGTGATGACATGTGCAGCAGTGGGACGGCATGCGTTGAGGGCGAGCAGGGGTGTGAGAGTGGTGTACAGGGCGAGTGGTGTATGGGGCGAGTGGTTTACGGGGCGAGTGGTGTATGGGGCGAGTGGTGTACGGGGCGAATGGTGTACGGGGCGAGTGGTGTATGGGGCGAGTGGTGTATGGGGCGAGTGGTGTATGGGGCGAGTGGTGTATGGGGCGAGTGGTGTATGGGGCGAGTGGGTGCAGAGGGGCGGGCAGGCTGGTGAAAGTGGAGAGGGCACGGGGAGTGAATGAGGGCAGAGTGCTCCGCACCGGGTTAAGCTAGTGCATTGCTGCTGCACACTCACTGCATCTCACCCACCTCCCTTCTCTCATTCTCTGCACCACACCACCTGCCTATTCCCTCTACTCAGTCCAGCTCCATCCTCCCTCCCTACATCCCACCAGCCCCCCACCCCTCCACCCCTCCATCCCTCCATCCGTCCGCCCCTGCCCCCTCCATCCCGCCATACAGACCTGCACGAGTTCTTGGCAGCCAGCTACTCCGCTTATGACATTATCATTTGGTCCGCCACCAGGTGATGACGTCATGCCACCAGGTGATGACGCCATGCCACCAGGTGATGACGCCATGCCACCAGGTGATGACGCCATGCCACCAGGTGATGACGCCATGCCACCAGGTGATGACGCCATGCCACCAGGTGATGACGCCATGCCACCAGGTGATGACGCCATGCCACCAGGTGATCATCACCAGGTGTTACTAGCCTCATCAGTTGATGATTCTGTGTGAATTCCATTTTCACTCGTCATCTTGAATCATCTTGTTGCTGCCCTCCTGTAACCATGTTCCCATCCCATCTTGCATCCTCCGGGGTGGCGTGTGGGCAGCATGAGGTGGGTGGAGGTGAAGATGCGTGAGCTGGGCGTGTTGGGGCACAGCGACTACCGCGTGCTGGCGCTCGTGGACCACATGGCCATGATCACCGTGCACTCGCCCCACCGTGGCGTCTTCGACTGCAAGCCCCTCCAAATCCTCTGGGACAAGTTTCCTGAGGTGCCCCTGCCTCTCCCTTCTTCCACGCATTCCTTGCCAAATAACCTGCTCTGTGTGTTCTGCTTTTCTTGCCTGCTCCATGCTTTTCATCTTCCTTGCCTGCTCCCACACGCCGCCACATGCACTTGTAACCATATGGAACTATTCGCAAGTCATGTGCGTTCCTTTGCTCTACATCCACACTCACCTCATTCCCAATAATTCCTTGGGGACGCCCTGCACTCGTCTGTGCTGCACCCCTCCCTCACCGGCCCGTGTGCGGCGGGCAGCACTACAGCGAGGCCAACACGATCATGTTTGACGATCTGCGCCGCAACTTTGTCATGAATCCGCGCAACGGGCTCACCATCCGCCCCTTCCGCCGCGCCCACGCCAACCGCCACTCTGACCGCGAGCTCGCACACCTCACTGAGTATTTGCTCGCTATCGCTGACCTGGACGACTGGAGCCAGCTGGATCACAACCAATGGGAGCGCTTCATGCGGCACCTGAAGAAGTAGGGTGGGTGTCCAACAAGGCATGGCAGCTTTTGATGCCACGGCATGATGATGTTGCATGTGCTTTGCAGGTAGACGGCTGAATGCCAGATAGCGATGGTAGCGCATGGTTGGAGCGAGCACCACATACCGGTACCGTCGTCGCCTGGATACGGTATAACACATATGTGTCCTATTTGATACCAATTCAAAAAGTGGCTGTCTATCTTGAAAAATGAAGGGTGTTGAAGTTAATAATTTGTCTTACCGTATCACCCTGAATAGTAGCGTATATGCGCTCATAATAATATCAAAAAAATTAAGGGGGGGCGCTTGTAACTGAGTGTAGGGCATAAGTGCATGCGCGCATGAAAAGGAAAAAAAAACGAATTATGCGTTTAGAGGTACCAATCGAAGGTCTTTCTAAGGCAAGCACGATGGTGTAACGTTCACGTGGAATCGTGCATGAAAACCTCGCGAAAACAGCAGTGACTCGATTTACCACCGCACAAAAGTCATCCCGAAGCAACGCATATGCCAACGCTGACTCGGAAGCTGCTGTGCGCCTCAATCAGGAACCGATCAGGTGCCAAGCAGGAGCATATCGACCGATCTTTCTAGAAGGGGGACGAAGATGCCCTGCTAGGCTGTGCTGCATGTGATGGGCCGCAAACTCTCCTCTGCGGGTTCAGGCACCGACACCGAGGCTGGCACCGACACTAGCACCGAGGCCGGCACCCCGGCAGACATCCTGAGAAACTACCTATTCCAACGTTTCCGCCTATTAACCACAAGCGTCCTCACCCCTCTTCTAAGAACCAAGATGCCCGCCCCCTTTTCCCAGGAACAAGCCCTCGCTGCATAAGCGTAACGCTTATACCGCGCAGGAGAAGCTGATGCGGTGGATGCGTCGGTGCCGCTACGAGTGTTGTCTCGCGACTCAAGAATCCACTGCAAATGCCTCTCGGAGTGGAACAGAGCCGCCGCTATGCTCAATGAAGCGTACTCAGAATGGAAGTGGATGCACGGTGCGGGAGGTCATCGTGGTACATACCGATGGAGCTGAAGGTTTACGCAAGGCTACTCAAATGGCGCCAAAGATAGCACAGTTTTGTGTAGCCCCTCAAACAAGAGTAGCAAAGACCAAGTCGTCGACGTACATGAGGATGTAGAACGGGGGCAGAGAAGGGTTTGTGCGCAAAAACAACAACGGGTCAGCAGTCGAAAGAGCAAACCCAAGAGATGGAAGTGTCCTCCTCAGTGTGTTGTGCCACTCGCGGGGTGCCTGGCAGAGAACGTAGATTGGCCACCGGAGGCTTGACTAGGTACTTTCAGGAAACGACCCAGTGAAGCCAGGTAGGCGGCGCAGCCCGATCTCCTCGTGAAGGCTCCCCTGCAAGAAAGCTGTGGAGTGTAGCTCGTAGTCACACTATGCTGCAACATGCAATTACACCCAAAGAGTAGTCATCTTCGAGGTGGGGAAGAAGGTATGGAAGAAGTCGATCCACTGTCGCTGACTGAAGCCTCTAGCAACGTAAGGTGCCTTTAAGGGAGGCGGAGAACCCGGTGGCCACTTCACTCTGAAAATCCGCATGCCATCGACTATATTCGCCCCAGGACGGAAAACCTCATCGACATAGGTGTCCGCGGAATTCTGAGAAGCCATCTCTGCGTCCATGGCTGTCTGCCACTGAGAGGAGTACCCACGCGTGATCGCCTCTGCGTAAGAGCGCGGGGTAGGGATGTCTAGTGCATCCGGGTCTCCCTCAGAGCAAAGTAGCATGGACATGAGATGAGGTACAGTGGCTGCAAGGCTCTCAAGCTCAAACTGCCTATCCTCAAGTACGTCACTGCCAAGGGCAAGCTTACCTCCGACGGATGGAGGTCAGTCAACTCAGACTCAGTAATAAGACTAGCGACGTAGTCGAGACGACAATTAGCAGCAAAGTCTACGAGATTAGTGACTAAGGCAAACACAGCAGTAGACTCAAAGGAAGGGTCAGTGAAGTGACCAGGAGATGAGTGATAGTAGGACTAGCAATATGAGCAAGGTCAGACTCAAGGTCAAGAACGCCAAGAAGAGAGGATGCCAAGGAGACGGCATATAAATAGGCTGTGGAATAGAGGAATGAAAAAGTGCCATAGTGTGCGTGCTGGGGACAGGTGGAGGACGAGGACGACGAGCACAACTGATAGTGCGAACAGGGGAGGCAGGACAAGACTCAGGCTCACGACGTTCTGCTAGAGAGCCTGTCTGCGCAGGGTAAGGAGAAGGAGCAGGCAGTGGGGAGCCAGGCACTAATGGTGGCTGTGACTGGTCAGGCATTAGACACAAGAGAGGTGGAGTAAGACCAGTAAAAGACGGAAGACTAAGAATGTGACGAAGTGCCGAGTCAGGTAGTGGCAGTGACGACTTCGGGTGCGGGAAGAAAATCGGTCGCTGGTGCGCAGTACCCACAGTACCATAGCCTCTAGCTCGATTACCTCCACCTCCACTACCTCCAGCAGCTCCAGCACCTCCAGCTCTAGCACCTCCAGCACCAGTAGCTCCAGTACCTCCAGCACTAGCAGCTCCAGCACCTCCGGAACCTCCAGCTCCAGCACCACCAGCACTAGTAACCTAACCAGAGCAGCCTCGCCGAATAACCCACTCGAGAAGCTGCTATGGCGAGAGAGTCTACTGCAGACGACACTGCTGCTGCTATCCAACGCCAGAACCTCCAGTACCTCTAGATTTAACACCTCCAGTACCTCCAGCTCCAGTACCTCCAGCACCTGCAGCTCCAGTACCTCCGGTACCTACAGCTACAGCACCTCCAGTGCCTCCATCTCTAGCACCTCCAGCACCAATAGCTCCAGTACCTCCAGCACCTCGAGCTACAGGACCTCTAGTACTTCTAGCTCCAGTACCTCTAGCTCCAGCACCTCCACCACCAGTACCTCAAGCTCTAGCACCAGAGCGGCCTCGCCAAATAACCCACTCGCGAAGCTGCTGCAACGAAGGGTCTTCAGTCAAAGAGACTGCAGCTGCTTTCCAATGCCAAAACCTCCAGCAGAATCACTCTTGAACCCACCACCACTAGGACTCGTAGCACCCACAGAACCAGCACCAGTAGACCCAGCACCCCCAGAATCAGCACCCGCAAGGCCAGCACCTCTAAAGTCCGCAGCGACAGGCTGCGAAGGCGGTGATTGGCCGCTGTGTCGTCAGCAACGGGGTCACCCCCCTCAGTTGGGCCAGAGGTATCAGACAAGACCTCCAAAAGCTCAACCAAGGGGGGTGGGTCAACCCGAGACACACCTAAGGGAGCAGGACCCTGTGGGGGGAGGGGATCTACCGAGGGGGGGCCCGGAACAAGGAAGAGGGGTGGCTGGGGGATAGGAGAAGACGCGTGCGGGTGGAGACGGCACAAGCAAACCGACTCGTTAAAGGTGACGTCCCGGGAGGACAAGGCGCGGTGCGAGGCAGGGTGGTAAAACCGCCATGGCGGGTCGTCGGTGGGGAAGCCAAGGAAGATGTAGCGGAGGGTGCAAGGAGAGAGCTTGGCTGCAGTGGTATCGTGGACAAGGGAGAGCGCGCCCCCGACCCGAAACGGCGACGCATCGCCAACCTCCCTCGTCCAACGCAGTATAGGTGAGGCCTCTGGCAAAGAGACATGGGACCAGAGGTTGAGCTGATGCGCGGCGTATCGGACCACAATTTGGCCACAGAAAATGGGGAGCAGCCGCATGAATCTGTAAAGATGTGAGAATGAATGACTAGAATGAGCAACTACAAGGGTAGATATAGCAAACCTAACCCTAGCACTAACAAAGTACATCACCTATAGAAAACAATAGAAACTGTAACAACCCTAGTTTGCCATACCCCCATAGTCTAGGTGACGGTAGTGCTGTGGAGAGCAACAAACAACCGAAGAGCAAGGGTCACATGACCATTCAGCAAGTACAAGAAACAGTCACGAGACCAATTCACAAGAATACAACAACTCTCAGGGTGGATCTCAAGATCACCACACAGTCCGAGAACAAGCAAGGGGCCACAAGGTTAGTCCACATGCAAATATATAGCAGATGTATAGAATGCAAGAGTACAAGACATGCATGACAAGCATCTCTATAGAAGCAAGGGGCCACAAGGCCTGTCCACAAGCACAAATATAGAATATATAGTGAGATGCAAGTGTACAAGACAAAGCATCGCTACACAAGCATGTGAGGGCCTACAGACACAAGGCCAAGCTGGGTGCAGAAATGCTGGTGGTCACAAGGCGGCAATGCCTTGGTGAAAATATATGCCGCGTTGGCCTCAAAGACCATACGTCGCACGAGTGCCTAGCCACGCTGCTGCAACTCCCGCAGAAGGAAGTAATGACGATGCATGTGCTTCGCCTTTCTAACCAGTCGAGGCTCCTCGCACAACAGGATAGCAGACCTGTTGTCGGCGAACAAGACTAGGGAGAGCGAGGCCACTCACCAAGGTTGGTGAGAAGGAAAGACAGCCAGCGAAGCTCCTGGGCGGCCATGGCCGCAACGTACACCTCTGCCTCATAGCTGGAACTAGAGATGGACGACGCCCGATTCGACCTCCACGAAACACCTCCGTCCCAAAGCTAAAGCAGTAACTCTGTGTAGACCGCAGCGACTCTGCGTCGTCGGCCCATGACCAGTCCGAGAAACGTGTAAGTGTAACTGGCTGCTTCCCTCCAAGGACAAGTTCCATGCCTAATGTACTCGCCACATACTTCGCCACCCTCTCAGCAGCGTACCAGTGGGAAGGTCGGTGTTTCCCAAGCGCAACGAAGCGCGCAAGAACGCTAAGAGGGTAACCTAGGTCTGGGTGAGTGCAAGTCATCAGGTACATGAGACAACATTCAGCATAGGATATGGACCACTGGACTCAAATGGCTCATCCAAAAGTGGAGCCGTAAGCCCATGATCCACAGCAAGAGGGGTAGGCTGTACCTTGGAGAACAGGAAGCAAAACAACATGAGAATCTGCTCGACCATATGCGACTGCGTCA